AAGAGAATGTAACACCGGTATTTAAATTTATTGTAAACTTTTTGCGACATTAGAACCTATTAATAAGAAATTAGACAGACTGGAAAAATTAGTTGTATAAAAAGTAGAATATTCTGAATGGCTATCACTAACAGTTTACGTAAAATAATAATAATAATAATAATAATAATCAAAAGTAACATTCAATTAAGGGAGAATTATAGAAACAACCTCAATAGATTAGGGAACTGGAACAAGATAAAGCCTATAAATACCTAGGAATTAGCGAAGGAGATGGTATACAACATACCTAAATGATAGGGGAAAGTGGGAAATGAGTACTACAGGCGCGTGAGTCTGGTACTAAATACCGAGCCGAACTGAAAAAAACAGAATATCAGCCATAAATACCTTGGCCGTGCCTGTGGTGCAGTACAGCTTTAACATCCTTAATTGGACCATAGCTGACATTAAACGAACGGACGCCAAAACGAGAAAGCTTCTCACTTGCTATCGCATGCATCATCCCAAAACTGTCGTTGATCATCTGTATGTGCCCAGATCCGAAGGAGGCAGAGGATTAGTTCAACTAGAACTGTCCTACAAAACTACAACAATTTGCCTTCAAAGATACCTGGAAACCACAGAAGACTGGATGATGATATCTGTCAAAGTAGTAAGCGCCTTTATTCTGTAATAAAAGAAGCCTACAAGTTTCAAATGCAGAAATACAAGTAAAGCACAATACACCGACTGAAACTGTAAAATACATAAAAAAGAAAGCAAAAACAAATGCCACCGACCAGATACAGAAACAATGGCACGATAAACCGCTTCATGGCCAATACTCTGCCCGTACCAAGCAAGCTGATGTATTCAAGCCCCGTTCACATCAGTGGTTACGTAGTGCAGGGTTAATAGGTGAAACTGGAGGTTTTATTCTTGCTGCACAGGATCAGTGCTTATTAACTAGAAATTATCAAGTACACATACTAAAATACTGTGTTAGCCCAAAATGCAAGTTCTGTGATAATGACCCAGAACAATCGATCATCTTGTATCAGGTTGCACGGTATTGGCACCCATTGAATATAAAACCCGGCATGACAGAGTTGGCTAATATCTGCACTGGAAAATCTGTAACTTCTACGGGAAGGAAACTGAAAGAAATTGATATGAACACCACCCAGATCAGGTTACGGAGATAAGACCTGTTACAATTTTATGGGAATAAACAATACACACAGACAGAAAAATCAAAGGTAACCGCCCAGACATTGTTATTAGAGACTGCAAACAAAAAAAGTGCCTCCTTATTGATATGGCAGTCCCTGCTGACTGCAATGTATCTTTCAAGATCTTCAAAAAGTTATCAAAATACAAGGACCTAGAAATCGAAATCTCAAAATAACACATGGGAACATCAAGTTGGAGCCCTTGGATTGGTTGGGAAAGATTCCAATAGACTAATTGAAGGGATTCCTCGAAGCCCATGCCTGAAAGAAATACAAAAAATTGTTCTCACAAGTACAGCCCACGCCTTACGAAGGGCATTGTCTATGTAAAATATGTTTTTTTTTTCAGTGGAAAATGTCATGATGCCATCTCTAACCTTATGTCCTTGGGCGGGACCCGGAAAGAAATTAGAACACATCAGAAATCAAATGAAATAAAATAAAATAATAATAAAATCACGTATGTGCTGATTTTTCAACGGGTTTAAATGAAAGGTTGAAAAATATAACTACCCGTTACCAAGTCGAAATTAAATGGTTTAATTTTTTTCTAAGATGGGTCTTACACTTAGCTACAAGTAAATGAAGATTGCTCAAAACTACTAAAAGTTAGCACTCATAAAGGAATATACAAATTTAACCGACTTCCTTTCAGTATAAAAGTAGCACCAAGCATATTCTAACAGATTATGAACACGATGTTTGCCGGGTTGGATTGTGCACAAGCATATTTAGATAATGTACTTATAAAAAGCGAGGCCCGAAATCAGCATACAGAAGATGTAATATAAGTATTTGAGAGAATTAAAGATTATAGTTTTAACATCAATGGATGAAAATATAAACTGTTTAAATAGTGATTTTCCAAGCGTTGCTTAGATGTGGCACAAGGCCGAAAGTATGGGACGCTCAGTGTGAATCAAACTCACTACTCTGTCGTAATTGTTCTAGCGACACAAGCTTGTTAACCATTACACCACCTCGAGGTGTCCAACTGCTAAAATATCTAGGACAAATTATCGATGCGAACGAAAGACGGCCAGATCCTTTTAGGTCGAACACAAGAAGGGTCATGCCCGCCCCAACAAATGTAACAAAGTTACAAGCATTTTTAGGGTTTGTCAATTACTAGCATGTATACATTTCAAACATGCATGAACTAAAGGCACCCTTGAATAACCTGCTAAAGAAAGAAATTAGATGGGATTTGTCAGACAAATGTCAAAGTGCTTTCGAAGAGATTAGAAAAGTCCTAACGTCGGACTTGTCACTCATTCATTTTGAGATTGTAGTTGCAGCAGGTGCAAATGTGTCGGCCGCTAGAGCTATGTTACTATACAAATATGAGGACGGATAGTCCAATATCTCATACTTCAAGGTCATTAATAGAAGCTGAAAAAAAAGAACTACAGTCAGATAGAAAAGAAAGTGTCGGCCAACATATTTGCTATAAAAAGATTCATAAATTTATACATGGTAGATAATTCACACTACAGGCAAATCATCGTCTATTGTTGTCCATATATAGATCAAAAAGGATGTTCCTACGCATACAGCAAGTAAACTGGATCGCTGGGGAAGTATTTTATTAAACTATAGTTATAAAATGGAGTTTCAACCAACCAAACAAATTGAGTTACTCTGACGGACTATCTAGGTTGCTTGCAAAAATCTGCAAACCAGTAGAGGACACCTTAATTGCAACGATAAGGACCAAAAACGAAATAAAGAATGCATTATACAACACAGGGAGAGAAATGCCGGTAACATTACAGGAAATAAGAATTAAATGGGGAAAAGACGATTTTATATGAAGAAGCAAGATTTAAAAAAAAAAAAAAGGATATTACTAGAAGTAGCTCATTTTCATTATACGATAATGTACTTATGTACGCAGAAACAATTGTAATGCCAGCTACATTGCAAAAAAGTATGCTAAAAGATTTTCATATATGACATCCAGAAATTTCAAGGATGAAATCCTTAATGAGGTGTTATACGCGCTGGCCGAGAATGGACGAAGACAGTGAAAATTAAGAAAAATCATGCAGAGGTTGCGCTCTGGCAGAGAAGTCACCACCTATAAAATTTAAACATTGGACAAAAACCGATATTCCATGGTCCAGAATACACAGACTTCGCAGGACAGCTAAATGGAGCATACTATCATGTGGTCGTAGATAGTTACACTAAATGGGCAGAAATATTGAAATGTAGAAAACTGACTTCCACAGTAACTATAATTTTTTTTACACGAGATTTTTGCAAGATTCGGTGTACCCGATACTATCGTTACAGATAACGAGACACAATTCACGACTAGTTAATTTAGGTTTTTCTGTAAAAAAAATTAACAATAGAACACATTACAGCACTCACCTTATAAATTATTACTAAGACGTAAGGTGAGAACATCAAGAAACAACACTAATACACACTATTTACATTATTCGGACTATTGTCCTCATCTTGGACGCCATATTTATAAACAACGTTTCGGCCGTTGTAGCCTCCGGCCTTCTTCAGGTGGTTGGAATTTCGCACACTGGGGTAGTTTCACGTGCCATGTTTTAATGGATGTCAGTTATCAGTTATCTCCTGTTAATTCCCGTTTCCACTGCCTTAACCAGATATTGAACTCACACTCTTTGGGTCACTAACGCCTTTATCCACTGTACCATGTGTCCTTGAGGACATCCGTGTAAAAATTTCTGGGTATTATAAACCTAATGTCTTCATGAACATATTTTTACCAGTGCTCATATTGCAATTTTTGCTATCATCCACATATTTTTACCAGAGCTCATATTGAAATTTTTGTTGTTATTATCGCTTTTCTCTGGCACTCCTTATTACTGGTTCCCATATTGTATTCATTTCTATGTTTGGCCGGCTCAGGACATTTTTGTGGCCTAGCATATGTGCTGATTCCTTAAGATTCCGAATTTTAAAGATGAGGACAATAGTCCGAATAATGCAAGTAGGGTACATAATACCTCATCTCAGAAATATAGACAAAAATTAATATAATTAAATATTTCAAACCTGGAGATAAAGTGTTTGTTTTTAAAACGTACCAACGTGAAAAAGAATTCTGGGAAGACGGTGTTATGAAAAAACGGATTGGCAAAATGACGTATACGGTACAGAGATAAAGGTGGGAACATAAGCGACATCTTTACCAGTTAAAACGAAGATTCACAGATTTAGTAAGTCTACGAAAAGCAGTACCGATGGAAATATTGTATGACATGTTTGGCATAACCATGCCAACAGAAATTATTGAACCAAGGATTCACAGCAAGAGAAAAAGACCAGCAACGGAATATTTAAATATTGAACCAAAACTGAAGAAATACAGACTCCAGAGAAATCATGTCAAAGGGGATGTGTTATATATGAATGAACAGTGTCACTGCTGACACCGGTGTTTGAACATGAATCCCTAGTTAATGAAAATGTAACTCACCATCTACTATAGAGATATCATGCCATTGACTATGCAGTTATAATTACATGTTGACTATTGTGTTAACCCATATGTTAAAGTCGACTGTCACTTGTTTCAAGATGAATTAGTACTTTTCTTAGCAGCTCTACACAGTGGTGAATTAACTGATAAGTAATCAATAATTTCTCTGTTGACTTGTACTTCTTTGTTGTTAATGTATCTTAATTGCGTTGGTAATTAAATACGTTATTATTTTACACTGAAGTCTTTCTATTACTTTATTATGTACGTGTGACGGAACAGATAATTTTCCTTATAAGGAAACGCCAAATATTATGATTACAATTAATAATTACCATTTTCCTCCTTCTGATACACCTTCTTCTTTTTCTTTTTTTTCTTCTTTTTTCTTTCTTTTTTCTTTTTCTGATTTTTCATTTTCTTTTTTTTCTCTTTTCTCCTTTTTCCCTTTCGCTTTTTTTCCTTTTTCACTTTTTCTTTTTGTTCTTTTTTCTTCTTCTTCTTTTTTCTTTTTCTTTTTTTTTCTTTTCTTTCTTCTTCTTTCCCAGTTTCTAGATCTAACTTCGCTCTGCCATTTTCTCATCATTTACTTTAAATCTTTCAAAATTTCTGATTTGTCAATTAACTATGAAACACCCTTGAAAAAAAAATTCCAACACCTTATTTATGCACCTCTGCTCGCATACATATAAACATGAATACCTACACACACACGCGCGCGCACTTATACATTAACTACGAAAAATTAATTTGTTTTCGAGGCATTAGACTAACTTAGCATCCAACTTAATTAACTTTATGCATGGCACTAATTAATTAACGCTACAAGAATATTTTTCTGTTGCCTTTTTGCGTTTTCGTTCTATCTGCCCAATTCTTCCATTCTCCATTATTTCTTCTCTTTTAATTTCTTCATTTTCTTCGGTTACCTTCTCTTTTTTTGTCTCATTCACCTTCCTTACGTTTCTCTAATTCTTCTATTTCCTCTTTTCAATTATTTTCCCTACTCGTCTGTATTCTCCCTCTTTCTCTCTCACTCCCCCTGTATCTTTCTTTTTCTCCCTCTCCCTATCTCTCTCTCTCTCTCTCTCTCTCTCTTTCCCTATCTCTTCTCTTATTTTTATTGACTTAAATGATTTCCTTCAGTGTATTTCCTTTCGCTTCGCTTTTTTTCAGATTATTTCTTTTTTTTTTCGAGCCCCGGTAATAATTCTCTTCCCATTCTTTTCCGTCTTTTTAACTTTTGAGTTCCAATTTTTCTTTCACTTTCTTTAGATTGTTTTTCCTTCCTGAGTGATGATCATTCTCTCAGTTCCATTAGTCTCTAGTTCATTCTAGAGTCATGATCATTCTCTCAGATCCATTAGTCTCTAGTTCATTCTTCTAGTCATGATCATTCTCTCAGATCCATTAGTCTCTAGTTCATTCTCCTAGTCATGATCATTCTCTCAGATCCATTAGTCTCTAGTTCATTCCTGAGTCATGATCCTTCTCTCAGATCCATTAGTCTCTAGTTGATTCCTGAGTCATGATCATTCTCTTAGATCCATTAGTCTCTAGTTCATTCCAGAGTCATGATCCTTCTCTTAGATCCATTAGTCTCTAGTCCATTCCTGAGTCATGATCATTCTCTCAGATCCATTAGTCTCTAGTTGATTCCTGAGTCATGATCATTCTCTCAGATCCATTAGTCTCTAGTTCATTCTTCTAGTCATGATCATTCTCTCAGATCCATTAGTCTCTAGTTCATTCCAGAGTCATGATCATTCTCTCAGAACCATTAGTCTCAAGTTCATTCTTCTAGTCATGATCATTCTCTCAGATCCATTAGTCTCTAGTTCATTCCTGAGTCATGATCATTCTCTCAGATCCATTAGTCTCTAGTTGATTCCAGAGTCATGATCATTCTCTCAGATCCATTAGTCTCTAGTTCATTCCAGAGTCATGATCATTCTCTTAGATCCATTAGTCTCTAGTTCATTCCAGAGTCATGATCATTCTCTGTTCCATTAGTCTGTTTTTCCTTCCTGAGTCGTGACAATTCTTTCAGTTCCATTAGTCTCTAGTTCATTCCTGAGTCATGACCATTCTCTCAGATTCTTTAGTCACTGTTTTCTTCCTGCGTAATGACCTTTCACTCAGTGTATTGAATTTATTGTTCCTTCAAGACCTATCTCTCACTTCCATTACTTTTTTGTTCTTTCCCATAATAACTTCTCACTCAGTTTCTTTTTCCTTCCCGACTAATGAACTTTCCCTCAATGTATTTAATCTTTACTTCCTTCCTGATTAATGATATCTTTCTCCGTTTCCTTAGATTCTAGTTCTATCCTGAGTCATGACCTTTCTCTCAGTTCCTTTGGTCTATTTTTCCTCTCTGGTTAACGGTCTTTCTTTCAGTTTCATTAATCTCTTGTTCCTGACATGTTTATCATTAATTAATCATCGTTAAGTATCGAAGCTCATGAATGATTTATGTAATGTTCAAATATATATATATATATATATATATATATATATATATATATATATATATAATTCCAGAGTCATATCCAACTTATTCGAGATGATCTTCGCCCTCTCTAACGTTCTAACTTTCTGTCCTGGAGTAACAAGGTGCTCACACGTTTCACGTGCGATTTCATTTTCAAATCTTTTTTCACTGCTCTTTGAATTGACATAGGTGAAACACCTGTCTCATATGATAAACGTCTTATGAACTGAGTTGAATCTTTTCTAATTGATCACCTTGGCTCTAAGTTGAAGTGATGATCCCTCTTCCTTTTGTGACTTCCTGACCCAGGTTATATTTCTACTGTTCCCTCTTTTTTAAACTTATTCACCGTTCTCTTGATGGTTCTTGAATGGACTTTGAAGATGGAAGCAAGAGTATGAATGTTGGCACCGTTACTGAATGTATGAATGATCTTTTTCCTCTCACCATTGCTCAGTTTAGAAGACATTGAGATTGACATAAAAAAACGGTTTTAATTTGTTCTCTTTCTAGATGAATATCTCAAGAGAATTTTCAGTAATTTTTACAACAAATAGTATCAAGATGGCTAAACGTCTTATCTGAAAACCTGGAAAAAGAAACTCATTTAGTGTTGTTTCAGATATTAAAGATTTTTTGGGATGAATAATTATGCCATTACACTATTTGGATTATGTTTTTACACCTGGTATATATATATATATATATATATATATATATATATATACAGACGCAAAATTAAAATATGTGAAAATTAGATCCAACCACCCTCTAATAATAATAAAGATGATAATAATAAAGCATATCCCTAGGGGAATATTCAAGCTTATTCAGAAACTCTTCCATAAAATAATGTTTGAGGATAAAAGGGGGAGTATAGGAGAAGAACTTAAAAGGCGGGGGTCACAAAACCAAACTAGAATTTATACCTCCCAAAATTAAACAACATACAAAGAACAATACGAGGAATTATTTGGCTTAACCCACACTTTTAATTTAGTAGTAAAATGTAAAATAAGTAAATTATTTTTCAAGTTGCTTACTAAACACTTCCCCAAAAATTCAGAATTACATAAGATATTCAATAAAAACACGGTTAAATTAAGCTACAGTTGCACTAGTAATTTAGAAGTAATAATAAATAGACATAATGCCACATATCTGAAATCTAACGTTCAGCAGAATAACACTAGTAATTTATTCAACTGCAGAAATAAGAACAGATGTCGATTAAATGGAGCTTGTAAAATAAAAGCTATAATTTATAACGCAGAAATAACAGATATTAATGGCCAAAATAAAATGCACATATGGTGTACGGAAGGTACTTTCAAATGTAGATGGTACTATCATATGTCGTCATTTAAGCTTGCATATCTTAGGCACAATACCAAACAAGCTAACCATGTGTGGAATTTAAAAGAAAAAACAACAGGTATCCGTTGGTAAAGTGGAAATTTTAAAAAAAGGCAACAATCACAACCATATTTGCAACCTCTGGCAACAGATAAAATTAGCGATTATGATATTTCTAGATCCCAAACACTTTTAAAACAGAAATCTTAAGTCTTAAACCCTTGCTTACATATCAGAAAATTTTTCTTAAGTGCATATGAGGCTGTATAAAAAAAATTATTTACCCCACACCCACAGATGCATTTGCAATACACTTGCTTTTCATTCCTTTCTTCTTCTTCTTCTTCTTCTTCTTCTTCTTCTTCTTCTTCTTCTTCTTCTTCTTCTCGTCCATTTCCTCCTTTCACCCTCCCCCACTAATTTACTATTATTATTATTATTATTATTATTATTATTATTCATATGCATTTCTTCTTATTCTTCTTGTACACCTTTTTCTTCATCTCCACTTCTTCTTCTTCTTCTATACATGTTTCTTCTTCTTCTTCTTCTTCTTCTTCTTCTTCTTCTTCTTCTTCTTCTTCTTCTTCTTCTTCTTCTTCTTCTTCCCCCTCCTCCTCCCTTTCTATTACACCCCACGTCGTGCGTTTGTTTGTTTATTTATATTTTAAATTATAATGTAGCGTTCTTTATTCTCTTTTTAAATAAAAAAAGCGATAGGTTGTCATTTGATAAAAAAATCTCCTGAGGATGCAGTATTGGTTGAAACCAAAGTAGCGGATTCAGGTGATCTTCTGTTTTTTAAAGTTAAACGCTCTACATTTTATTTTTACATGTCTATTCAGCACTTCTTATTACTACTGTTTCCTGGTCTGATTCAACACTGACTATTAACCTTATATATATATATATATATATATATATATATATATATATATATATATATATATATATATATATATATATATATATATATATATATATATATATATATATATATATATACGTGTTGTGTGTGTATCTCTGCGTTTGGTCGTTTTTTGTTTTCGCCTCTTTATGTGAGGTCTGCTTAACCGATGACAAATAACAAGCGCAAAATTTCATAACACCAGAATTGTCTTTCTTTCTCTCCTCAGTATTCCATTCTCTGTGGGAGATTTAATAAAAGCCAAAAATGTTAGATTTATTAACTGTTTGTTCGTTTTTATATCATTCTGTCAGATTCCAATACATACTGGATCTATATTTAATCTCAATACATATAAAAGGTGTTTCATTAAGACGGATCAAAGTCAGCAATAAATTAATCGGTGTTATTGGTTAAAATTTATTTATTTCTTTATTGGATCATGTTAGTTAAGTCATGGCTCTTATGTATGAAAAATAATATCACCCAAATATTCGCCCAGGCTTCGGCGGCACACCTCCTCTCGATAGTTAAAATTTTTGATGACGTCTCTGCATAGTTGCTCCTCGATCTCATCAGTATGCCTTCTTATCTCATCCTTCAGCTTTTGAATTGTTGTTGGCTTGTTGGCATAGACCTTAATTTTGAGATGACCCCAAAGGAAGAAATCTAAAGGCATGTGTTGGCCAATTGATTTCGCTGTTTCGAGAGATGATCCGAGCTGGGAACTTCTCATTGCATTTCTGTTTGAACGTCCATTTTTGTAATAGGTTTCGATAACTTTAACACGTTGTTTGATTGTTAATCTTTCCATGGTTGAAATTGCCAAAAGACATAAGTTGTTAAATCTGAAAGAAAAAGAAAAAATCATTAGACGCTTTAACTTAATTCACATTTAAAATCGGTCCAAGTTATTTGAACAGCCTTTAGAAGTCACCAGATTTATCTGACACTTGATACTGATACCCGCTTCGTCGAAAGACAAATCGTTTAAACTTTTAATAATTAATTGACAATTTTCATCCTATTTTTCTATTGAGCACTTTCTTGGCGAAAAAAACATGCTAGCCTTGAAATATTTTAACCTCTAGTAATTTTACGTATTTTGATAGGTTCTACTGATTTGGATCATGTATATATATATAATTAAAACAATTACCCATCGCTGTACACTTTAACCAACCGTTCCATAGCTTTGATGACATCAATTGTGTGCTCTTAACTTATTTATTTAATAGCCAACAAGAAAGACACAGATCTGAGTTGAAACATATAAAACCGCATATTGAAGGATTATTTAGAGATTTAGTTTTACTCCGAGAATATAATTTCCACAGGGAACACTCTGACCAACCACAAAAATATTCTTT